GTGAAATATATTTATGTTTGTGGTTGTAATGTGACAAAATATGGAAAAGTTCAAGGGGTATGAATACTTTTGCAAACCACTGTATTTTTTGATTGAAGGTGCTTTTTGTTTGATTGAATCATAAAAACACAAATTTACCTCCATACCACCCCTCCAGCTCAGCCCCTGGTGTGAAATATGGTTAACACTTAATGTCCTGATGCATCTCAGTAATCCAGGTAAAAAATCAAAAAGAAAAAAATTGTATAGGTCATCTGGACGGGTTAACACTTAAATTTCAACTTTTAAACTTTTTTTTTTTGTTTATTCATTATTTTTTAAAAAGTTCCCCTTTTTTGCCTTCTTTGTTTCACAATGTGAACTTTTAAGATTTGACACAGCAACCGGAGTCTAAAGTCTAACCAAAAAAAAAAAAAATGTGTTAGGTTTTGATTAAGTAGCCGATTTGATTTGGATATAAATTGCTTTGTGCACATTTTGGTTTGCACAATGAGGTCATTATCGTTATCTTATTAGACCTGGAGAGACTAAAAAAGGCACAGGGGAGCCTTCATCTCTTTCTTTCTGATATCTGCAAATTGAGTAGATGATGTGATTAATCTGCACAGAGAGTGAGGGCAGGTAATGAAGGGGAGAGGTGACAGACGTTGACACACACACAAGCACACAAGGGGGATAAAAAGTATGTCTCAAGGCTACAAAGTCCACTGTATGACTGAGATATTCTACTGTTATAGATTTATGACAACATGCACAGAAGTGATAGTCTGCAGATACAGATTTTTGTTGTACACAAACACACACTAGTCTCCTGGAGCACTACATGTTCTCACACTCGTTCACAAGCGGACACGCAGAGCATGGCAGTGACTCACAGTGTGAAGTTTTCCTCCGGGTAGCAGCGGTTTCTTAGCAGCCCCGCCCACAGCTGCACCCCGATGATGCCAAAGATAAAGAAAACAAAGAAGCAGAGGAGGAGCACGTTGCCCAGCATGGGCAATGTGTCAAGCAGCAGGTTTACCAGGATGCGCATGCCTGCAGGGAGACACAGACAACCCATTTACATGACTACAGASTTCATCATCAGAGTACAGGAAGCTGAATGTGGTCTTTGCATCAGGACACAGACAGAGCTGCAATATTGTGCGATTTTAAAGTTATTTGTTTTGATCCNTTTTGGTTGACTTTCAAGTTTTTGGTTGACTTTCTAAGTTTTTGGTTGACTTTCAAGTTTTTGGTTGACTTTCAAGTTTTTGGTTGACTTTCTAAGTTTTTGGTTGAACTCAAAAAAGATTTGAACTCAAATGTCACAAACGGGGATAGTGGCATAGGGAGTAGAGAAGCCAAGCTTGTGATCAGAAGATAGCCGGTTCAACTCCAGCTTGGTGTCCATGTTTGACATGTGTGATAGGATAGGATAGGTTAAATGTAGAGACTTAAAAGAGACTTACTGCGCAAAATTCACTTTTTAAAAGTTTTTTTACTCAACTTTGGGTGTATACTTCTTAAGAAAACAGTCCTAGGACCAAAAGAAATGCACCCAAGGGCATATTTACTATAAGTAAATATATTTTAATGTATATTAATTACAAGTTTTATACATTTTGTGATGTCACAAGTCGTACGACAACCCACTGCGTTCAGCCTCTTACCTAGCAAACCCCAGGTGAAGCTGCTCCCCCGTATAAAAAGCTGCCATGGTCTTCTTGTGCAATGTGCAGCTCATTTTATGTCAAGCTTCCTATAGCACAATGGCTAAAGTATTGGACCAGAGAGTGGGAGACTGGGGTTCAAAACCGACTTGGACACAAAGAATTTAATTTTTTATTTTCGTTTGATATGAACATGTTTTCTCATGTACTTCTATTGTTTAGCTTATTAAAGCCTTGTTAAAGCCAATTTGCCAAAGTTGAGTAAAACAATTATTTGTGTGAACACACGTGCAACATGGAGACCATCCTGGAGTTGAACCTGCTACCTAGGCTAAAAAAGAGACCTATTATGCAAAATTCACTTTTTCAGATGAATAAAAAAATCTTTGAAAAAGTGAATTTTGCGCAATAAGTCTCTTTTAAGTCTCTACATTTAATCTATCCTATCCTATCACACATATGAAACATGGACACCAAGCTGGAGTTGAACCTGCTATCTTCCGATCACAAGCTTGGCTTCTCTACTCCCTGCACCACTAACCCTGTTTGTGACATATGAGTTCAAAACTTGTTTGAGTTCAACCAAAAACTTAGAAAGTCAACCAAAAACTTAGACAGTCAACCAAAAACTTAGAAAGTCAACCAAAAACTTAGAC